CAAAGTCAAAGTATTCCGAAAGAAATGAATGAACGATAGTATGTAATAATGATAGTGTTTAAGTGGATTCATTATTTCTATTGCATATTTATTGAGTAGTGTAATTGGTTTTTTGTGCCATTCTATTCATATAAATAAATAAATTATACTGGGATCTCTTCAAATTCTAGTTAGAACATTCCATAAGAGGCAATTGTGGTAACTGTAGACCTACAATGTACTATTCACTGAGTCTCTGTAATGTGGGCGGAACCTGATACATATAGTTACCACATTGACTCTTTATCGGAGATGTCCAGTTTCCTTTTAACCGGCAAATACTTTCTGAGATTATCAGCTATTCTGCTGCCTGGTTAGTAAATAATATTTTATTATAATCTTTACATTAATATTACAGACGGACAAAGTCCTAGAGCTGGGACAATTGTTCAGACCTGGCCAGTACATTGCTGTGAAGGTGCTGGAAGTGAAGGATGTCAGCCTCATGCTATCCACGATGCCGCAGCATGTCAACGGACAGACCACACTTAAAGATCTGCAGAAAGGTTTGTTGAATACACTTTTATTTATTTACTAGCTACTTCCGTGCGGTTTCACACGGTTTGCTCAGCTCCTATTGGTCATAGCTTGATGTTTTGTAGCCTATAGCCATGCTCGATAAATGCACTATCCAACACAAAAAGAATTATTCAAATCAGACTTGTAGTTACGGAGATTAGCACGTTCAAACAAACAAACAAACTTCCGTTTTATATATTAGTATAAGATAAGATAAGATTTTCGTCATTGTAAGAGCCTATATAAATAATACGTTATGGATGTACAACGAACGCGCTGCGGCTGCCCAGCAAATGCGTGGCGAACATGCCCCAGCTGTGCAGCATGTGATCATACCATTATAGCATTATAGCTTTTGATAATTTTTGAGCTTTTATCATGTGGGATTCAATGAGAAAGGAGTAACTATTACCTCACTTTAAGTACCCCTAGAAGTTTTTAAATGAGTGGCCTAAAACAGCTTTACAAAAGAATATAACTATAGAGATTACTTGTTCGGCAGTAGTGATGTCCACTACGTCAAGTGCACCTACTTCTAGCACTTTTTCTACTTGAACAATGAGGAGGATGTGAACAAGACAGATTGTATTAGTTTTGTAACAAGTATTAGCTGAATTAAAACTCAACTAACTCAACTGCGAATACTCCCTGAGGACACGGTCGAACACACAGTAGGGAAATACCCTACGTGAGCTGAGCATCGCCGTGCCCTCAGGGATGTGATCGGCGACGGCGACCTCTCGCATCCGGGCTCTAGTCCGGGTCATGACAGGGAGTGAGGGGGGGACTAGGATGCCGTCTCCTTCTTCTGCGAAGCAGTCATGCTAACTATGGAGGAGGCGGCGAGCATGAGTAGCTCGCCGCCCGACCAGAACCAGACCCGAGTGTGTGGCGCGTCGCGTTCAATAGTGCTGATGCCGATACAGAGCCGCAAAAAACTTAACGGGTTGCCGAGGCTCCGGCTCGAAGTGCAGGAGTAGGAACGGGGTGGTTTTTAGTCAGTAAGAGTCTGACACTCCCTCCTACTTCACCCAGGCGGGAGCAATCATTCGACGATTTTCCCCTCTTAAAAAAAACCGCGCACGCTGCTCATGAGGAAGAGCCTCTCTGTGACTCGAAAGTAGTAGAGCTTTTCTAAGTACTTGAAAAACTCGTTATTTTTAGTTAATTCAGTATCGCCCGAATACTGAAAGGCTTTTTTCCCCCCTTTTCCCGAATCGGCATCGGTCCTGTTGGGCCCCATCTGTGGAATACTGAAAGGCTACTCTATCGATCTCCGTCATGTTACAAGAAATTTGTAGAGACAGAACTAGACTTGTATTGAAATAAAGTAATCATCATTTTACTTTACAGGGAACCTAATACAGGCGGCGGTGTCGTCAGTCGAGGACCACGGCTATGTGATGGACATTGGAGTACCCAACACAACCGCTTTCCTACCTAAAGCAAATACCAACCCAGAGATAGAGCTAGGTAAGTCTTTCATTGCTGGTAGTTGATCAGTTTAATATTCTTCACGTAACACATACACAGCATAGCTCTTATTCTCCAAATGGGGGTAAGCAGAAAGTGCAGCTTTCGTCAGAATATAGAAAACAATAAGTATTTATTTCTTAGTATGTACTATACATTGAGATCTTACGTAAAAACAATGATTCACACATAATACCGTTGCTGGTGTAGAAATATGTATTACGAACAAGCTAGGTACAAATATTTAATTGAAGCCATGCTTTGGCCGAATGAGCCGGCTCGACCGGAGTGATCACGGTCTCACAGAAGACCGACGTGAAACAACGCTTGCGTTGTGTTTCGTCGTGTGAGTGAGGTTACTGGAGCCCAAATTAAAACACCCCCTACCCCTTCCCCAATCTCCCCAATCCCTGAATTCCCAACAATCCTCAAAAGGCCAGTAACGCACTTTTAACTCTGGTGTTCCAGGTGTCCATGGGCGACATCGATTGCTTACCA